GAAATTGTCCAAAGTTCCTTTCCAAAGAAAAGTACAGAAAATAGAGACCAAGCTTTTGACTTTCTTGAGTCACCATCAGGGAAAATGATTGCTGAGTTTAGTAAAATTTTGAAATGTACCTACCTTTCAAAATATTACTAAACTCACCAATTTTTTCTATCTATCCTGATGATGACGGAAGCAAGTCGAAAGCTTGGACTATATTTTCTGTACTTTTCTTCCGAAATAAACTTTGGATAATTTCTGACAGAAATACCTCCTTGTCCAAGAAGAACTCTTCATAACTTTGAAAAGTCCATCATTAAAATTAATTGACACAAAATGTCTGTCCTTTTTAAGAGTGTGTATATATATGCATGTGTATGTGTGTGTGTGCACGTGATTGATTGAATAAATATGAAATCTTTTTGTGGGTGTGGGTGGGTGGATGCAGTGTCTAACATTTTCTTATAAAGTGCACTCTGATCTGCTACAGAATTGTGAATCTATATCTAAAACTCATCATTTTTTACAGATATTATGCTAGTCACTGATCATATGTATGTCCTAGCTGCGATTTCTTTTTGTGGGAGATTGTGAGCAAAGAGTGGAGGGGGCTTTAAAGTTTTTTTAAAAAATCATATTATAAAGTCATTAAAATGTATAAAGTTGGATTATATAAAATTTATATATCACTACATCTAAAAATATGCATATGTACGTATTAATAATAATAATATATTACTTCAAACATTATTATAAGTGCATACTTGTATTTGAAATATATGATCATTTTTACTTTAAACAGTCACCTATTTCAAATATAAGTACCCACTATTAATAATGTTTGAAGTAAAAAAAATGTTGGATTAAAAATAAATCCCTTAATTCTGACATTATATATATATATATATGATAAAATATTATTTTAAGTTATGCTACATTTATGAGTTAAAATTCTCAATATCAGAGATAGGGTATATGTAGATATAAAAGAGTGGATATTGAAGTCAACACTCAGAAGTGACAACTTCAATGTCTACTTATATATATATATATATATATATATTTTTTTTTATTTAGATAGATATAGATGTAGGCATTTAATACTTTACAAGCATTAAACTATAATCAATTATTTTTTCCTTAATTGCATTTTCTTAATGTCATTTTTCTTCTGTAGAAGACGTTAAATGTGAAATCATAAAACATACACAATTACATTGTAAAACCTCTTTATATATATGAACTGCACTTATAAACATATATGGAATCTATATCCAATATGTATTATTTATGATCATTATTATAAATATGTATTATGCTTCTATACTTTCATCTATAATCTGGAATATTGCCAATCAGTTACTAATTTTAACTATAATGTCATAGTAATTTCATCAACAGAAATTATTTCATCGAAAAAAAAAAGTAGCAACTCGAAGAAAAGATTTTGGACTTATTTTTGGATGAAGTATTTTGAAATGTAGAAAGATTGGTTTTTGGTTTCTTCAGTGTTTACCTCATTTATAATTTATTAAATTATATTATATATATATAATAAACATAATTTGTTATATATAATTTGTTCCCAACTGCTTTATTTGCCAATAATTTTCTAACAGTTTCTTAAAACATTTGATATGAAACCAGCAAACAGAAAAAAAATTAAGGAGGAATTTATTTGACCAAATAAACATTTTTTTTCATTATTTTTCTAGTTTTTTTTTGTTTTTTTTAACTATTTTTTTTTATATAATTAGGTATGGCTGCTAAGGCACATTGCCCTGTGCACCACAAGAACAGGTTGATTCTGAGAACCTCCTAAGTCAGACAAATGAAAATATCTGTTTTTGATTATCAAGTCTGAGAAACACTAAGATGGTCAAATTGTTAAACCTCCTATATAAATTCTTAGATAAAAAAATACCAGGGTCAAGATAAATACAGTGTTGGGATCTAGATGACCAGATTCTGGAATTTTTCTGTATCAAGGTAGACACTGTGATTTTGAAGTGATTTATATGGATTAAAAAGTTTTTTTTCTACAAAAGGGCAAACATCAGTGGTGTACCTCAGTGTGGGAGGTATGACAGATGCACAGGACACCACGAAGGAGCCTCTATTAAAGTCATGAAATCCATGGTCGGATATAAATTATTTGATAAACACGGTATTGGGGGAGGCACATGACTAGATTTGAGAATAAGTCAAGGCAGCCTCTACAATCTTGTTCTGCTGAGTGTGAAACCTGGGGAGGTGGGAACAAAAAAAAAAAAACAATGACTGAGCAGGTCACAGCCCAATTTGCATCAGTGAAAAAAAAAAAAAGGGGGGGTTGCAGTGGTGAACGTAGTATCATAATTTATCTAAGACATATGTCACCGTCAGACAATTTAGACGGAGACGTGATTTCAGCACTTGCCATAGGTGCTGTTTTCCATAGATATGCCTCTTATTGCAAATATATATATATATATATATATATATATATATATCGTTAGTGTAATCACTAATTTTGATAAAATAAAGTCAAAAATGAGTCAAATTCCATTATTTAAGTGAACAGAAATTGATTTTAATTTCACTGCTTGTATCTAATAATAATTGAAATCAGAATAACCACTCTACACACAGACATCTACATGGGGTGTGCATATTTGTGCATGAATGTATAAAAAGCAGAATACATGTCATTAAAAAAATGGTGGGGACATTAGGAAGGGAATTAATTTTAATGAGTTCCTTTCTAGATCTGACTAAAAAAACAATTAAAAAACAAACATGAATGGTTTTGGGACACATAAGGAAAGAAGGCTAGGAGAATTTAACACTGTCAGGACACAGCAAAAGTGAGAGAAGCAGAGGAAAGCAACGAGTAACCTACTTAAATGGGTGGAGGAACAAAGAAGAGTTGTAAAGAAGTAAGTCTTTCTGAGAGAAAAAAAAAAGGAAGTCGTGGCGAACTATGATCGCCCCAGGTACTGAAGGAACATGACAGAAATGTTTTGTCAAACAAGCTTATCGACACAAAGTGTGACCGTTTCAAATTTAAAGAAATTTTTTTGTCAACTGGAAAAAAATAATATGGGTTGACAGGGAATTCACAGCCATTAATACGAAAGAGAAAAGCTACAAATACAGCAATTAAGCTCTGAGCTCGTTTAATTTCTAAAGGACAAGGAAAGAGTGACCCAGACAAAAATAGATGGTTAACTTTGATTTTCTTTCTTCTTTCTTTCTATGCTGTCAGTTTCTGTGTAAAATAACATCAAAACAGACCCTTATAAAAAAAAAAAAATGTAACATCCAGTAGGGGTTTAATAGTTATCGCTACTAGGGTATCAATATTATTAAGGGTAACTTTACATAGAGCGGAATATCATTAAGATATTCTAAGCCAACTGCTCAACTCAAGTCAGAAATCAAGTAAAATGAAGATATTTTTTATAAAATTATTATTTTTTTTTTTTAAATTGTGGTGTGGGGAGAAGGGGGTAAAAAAAATATCAATAATGTAATTTTTAACCATTAAGTATTCCCTACCGTCACCAATTTGCTTTTTGTTTTTTTTGCACGAGAAAGACGCAAACCAATTCTAATGATTTAGAAAAGGGTGTATAATTATTTCTCAAATTTAAAAACAAATTCTTCATTTTTTTTTTTTTTTTTTTTTAAGAGTGCTAAGGTAATGTTAAAAAAAAAAAAAAAAATAGCCTGTCTTGAAATTACAATCTTTGGATTCTTGTATCCACTTTTTTTTTTTTTTATATCGGCACTGGCTTTATTAAAACAGCCATTGTCCTAGCAACTTCAGGATTGATAATATCAATTGTATGCGACATATGGTTGCCTCGAGAGCAAACGGTCGGGGAAGACTGCTCTACCTGAATGACCTCCTCTTCGTCATTATAAACTATCAAACTTGACATCACTCTCGCTTCCCCTTGAACAAGTGCAGATTCATGGCAAAAGATCTGCAATATCCATTGATCAGCATTCTTCCTGTAGGTAATCTTCCAGTCACCCTCTTTCACTTCAGAAGGCACTGGTCCCACGTAGGTACGGACATCGACTTGGATTCCAAAACGATGCGTATTGTGCATGCGTACACTATCAACCATTAGTTCTTTATAGTCTCTTGGCAAGTAGAAAGGTTCATCAAACGAGACTTTTAGCTCTCTCTGTGCCGGGCACAGTGAGCGAAAGCGATAGGCTTTGCTTATTAAGTGATGCAACAGGGTTTTGTACTCTACCATCTCTAACATATCGGAGTCTTCGATTTCGTAGAGCTGAGAGACCAGCATTTGCGGGAAACGAATAAACGGCATCAGTTTCTGGACATTCTCACTAAAAGAATTTGGTTTCAAGCTTTCTTGGTGTAGCAGCCATGTCTTGAGTGCCTGGTAAAGGCTGTATTCATTGGTAACCACAAGACTGGAACTCTGTAAAAGATCCGTGACAAAGTCAATGTCCATCGTCAGCCATTCAGTCGACTTAATGATGTTATCTGCATTCCAGGCTATAGTTTTTGCGCACTGTTCAATCAGTTCGTCCAGGTGAAGAGCTTTAGCCCAAGAGTACCAATTGAGGGCGTTTTGTACTTTGGGAGACTTTGTGTTCTCCACCATGTACTTCGTGCAGAGATGCTTCAGCGAGGCGACATTGTACTTATCTGCAAGACAAAGAACACCGACAGCAGATTCAGGGTTAATTTTGATTTCGGCAGTGTACAAATAACGGAGGAATCTATTGAACACTGCTTGGCACTCGGCTGACTCATTCAAGTCAATGCTAGCAGTATTTTTTTCTTTCCATCTACTTTCATAAAGCATGGTGCGAAATACGTCGCTAGATTTGGCTAAGACAAATTTATGTCCAAAGTATACTTTACTGCCAACATTCAGTTTTATATCACTGAGCGACTCCTGGTTATAGAAGCGGGACACATTGGATATAAACGTACCTTCATCCTTTAGAATAAACTCTTGGCTGCCAGGAGCCACAGGTCCTTCCATTATCTGAAATTAAACAAAAGAGAAAAAAAAAAAAAGAAAAGAAAAAAAAGGATATTAATATGAGTTTATTAGTGCTGGCAAAAGTGACTTTTTTTTATTTTTTTTTAATTTATTTATTTCACCCCAAACAAGGCAATAAAGCCACTAAGACACAAGGAGTTACTGAGTGTCAGAGATTATAAGAAAAAAAAATCATTATTGAGGAGAGTGAACAATAAAAGAACAAGAATTTAGAAATTTGCACTCATAAACATGATCCTCTTTCACACACATACATACATAACTTTTCTCGCTGTTGAAAAGAATTACCAGTTACTTAACTCTGCTCACATCCATCATGTGATCATCATGTTCAGCAAGCATAGATTAATGCCAATAGTACAAATTTATTCTACATGAAGGAATTCATTGATGCTCCTCTACATACTTTTATATCAGACACCGTTTTACTCAGCTTTTATCTGTAACAATGCAACAAAAATAATTTCATATTTACAAAAGTATAAAAATATGTAAACCAGTTATAGTAGAATATTTATTATTTACAATCTCATAGAAACAAATATGAAAACAAATTTTTTTTTATTCACAAATTTATAAAATTATCTGAAAAAAGAAAATTTAAATAAACACATGACAACGAGTTACTAATTATAAATTTTGGAAAAAAAAAAAAAGAAGCATTTTCCAGACATTTCTCTCATTCACTCTGGCTACATATTTTTATACACTTGTAAATACACAACCTAATAAATAGTGCTTAACATCTTTGTTGTCAATTCTCAAGGATAAAGAAAATGTGTATACAATAATAGCAGTGTCAAGGGAAAAACCACCCTTTTCACACACTATTTTTTTGCAGGCATGAAGGTTATTGTTGATTCCATATATTTCTATACATTTTTCTTTAACTATTTCATCCCGGGAAAGGCAATAAAGCCACTAACAGACAAGTATGAGAACAATAAAAGAACAGGAATTAAGAAGACAAGATAATGATTGACATTGTATTTAAATTTTTGAATATCAAACATGACTGGAAAGCAAGAAACTGAAAGAGTTCCACAAGCGAAAAGTGCAAAACAAGAAACTGTTAGTATTGAAATTACAATTACATCTAGCCATTTCAACTGTAAAATGGTGAGATCTTGCTGCAAATCTAGTACTACACTTAAATTCATAAAGTCTATGTACCATAGCGGAAAATTCATCAGAACAATTACCATGAAAATATTTATAGAAAAGGCACAGGAAAGCTACGTTATGGCAATGGGAAAGTGACTGAAGCTGAGATGCCAGTTCAGAACCAATAACATTGCAGATTCTTCTTTGGATTTTATCAAGAATCTCTAAATACATGACAGAGGCACCATATTTGCTCAAACACTTTCAATTTATTAAATTTTGTTTTTAATCATTTCATGCGAAGCAAGACAATAAAGCCACTAACACACAAGGGGGTTTAAGAGTGTTAGAGAGTATGAGAAAAAGCCCACAATTAAGGAGAAAGAACAAGAATTAACCCCTTGAGCCCAGACCACTGCTTTACCGGTGTTAGAAATGATGTAAAGCCCAGCCATCAGTTGAATGGTGGGTAGATACTTGTAACTATTTTTATATCTACTGTGAAACATTACTTACCAATTATTTGCGAATTTTGACTCGGGAACTCAAGCAGAAGAGTTAGAATTGTTCATGAACACAGAGCTCAAAGGGTTAAGAAAACATTGCATTTAAATTTTTGAACACCAAACTTGACTGGAAAGTAAAAAGCCAGAAGAGAGTTCCACAAGCGAGAAGTGCAATAGAAGAAACTATTAGCATAGAACTTATGGCTACATCTAGCGGCCATTTCAACTGTAAAATGATGAGACCTTGCAGCCAATCTAGTACTGCCCTTAAATCTAGGTACCAAAGAGGAAAGTTCATCAAAACAATTACCATGAAAGTATTTATAGAAAAGGCATAGAGAGGGTTGCCAGATTACTCATTTTTTGAAAGAACAGTGCTACTAAATTTTTAACTTTGCCTCTTGGGACATTTTCAAATAAATTTTCAAATAAGCAGAGTGACCTTGTGTTACCCATGAGAAGAAAATCAATTTAAAGTTTAGTAATGGTGAGCTTTTAAATATTGACAAATTTGTTTCATATGCCCAGACTGTCATCTAAGAGTATAGTTAAGTCTGAAACAGAGCTATTCACAAAGATCACAGATGTTATAATGAACTGCAAAAATAACTTACAAAAGCATTACTTGATGGTGCGAAGATAAAATTTATTAAACTTAGTCTGGAACAAGGTCTCCTTAATGAGGCACCCAGAACAGTAATTGTCTGCTCTGGGCTCCAAATTTTTTTTCACAATTGTCCCAGACTGTTAAAACAAACAAAACAAAAAAAACAAACAAACTTTGTTTTGATAAATTTTAAGCTGTCTCAAAATCAATTTTTTTATTATTAATGTTCACCCAATACAATGCCCAAGAGCCACTCATGGTGGAGGGTTACTGTGTGGAGTTATATTAGCATAGGAAAGAACAAGCATTAGGAGTATAGAACTTTAGAAGGAACTAGAAACCCAATCCTCAGGAAACAAAGGATAAACCTCTACACATGTTCAAAAGACTTATTATTTCTAGCTGTTAGTAAATAATATTTAAATGTTTAGGAAATAAATAAAAAAAAAAAGAAAACTAAAATATTCAAATTTTAAAAATTAATACAAAAACAAATTAAATTTTACAGAGATTTTTCTAAAAAAAAAAAAAAAAATTTTTATTTAAATATTTTTGGTTAAAATAATAATTTATATGTTAAATTAAATAATTTTACACAGAAATGATCATATTAATTAATTTTGATGCTCAGAATAGTTTTTATTGTACTGTACAATTTGTGTTCTATGCATTCATTTTCATGCCCTCAATAAGTCCAGTGAATGCCAAAAAAGAGAGAAAATTCTGCTTTTAGCATTCATTTTTCTATATAAAGAAATTCCCATTATTTACAATCAAAAAAAGAATTTTTAAAATTTTATCAAAAAAATTCTTTTTACAATTTACTGCTATGCCTCAAGACTAAACTTTTCATGTTTGTTTATTATTTTTTTAAATTTTCTCTTGAATTTTCAATTTATTATAAGCAGAAAGTACAAATATTGTTTGTTAATGATTTATTTGAGATTTTTAACCAAAAATTAAAAACAAATAAAATTCTTTGCTTTGTTGAAGCAAAATTAGTTCTTCCAATTTGATCTTAATGCTCTTGATAATTAAAGATAAATAATACAAATATTTAGATTTAAGTGCTTTGTCCTTCATTCAAGGTTAATTTATTAAAAGCCTGTCATTATTGATAAGAAGTAAGGATTTTACATTTTACGAAATTTAGTTAATAAATATAATAGAATTTCAATTAAAAATATTGAATCGTCCTGGCATCATCCCTAAAAGCTAATCAGCTATTGAAATCCATGACAAAAAATGCTATTGCTCCATAACATGGTACCTAGGTATTATTTTAAGCTGAAACTAATCTGAATAAGGCCAAAGAGCCTAGTGAGGTTCAGACTCCCTATATAGTAATAATCTGCAAGACTATCTTGTTAACCATCACTCCATCAGAAAGTTCCCTAATAGCTATCTACTAAGCTTAGATTCATTCACTGGGGTTCCGACTCACCATATAATAAGACTGGGTGCTAGACTAACTCGTTAACCATTACCCCCATCATAAAGTGCCTTGATAGCTACAGGGTGAAGGCAGAAATGACTCTCACATAATATGAAGACATTATTAATGTCTTACCATTTTGTGTGAATAATATGTAGGAGGTATTTCTAATGCACATTGTATTTACTAAGCTAAGACGAGTGGTTCCCAACCGTTTTTTTTTTTTTTTGGCATTGCCCCACCTAAGCATCTCTAAAATCTTATTTATACACCATATGTATTAATTCACAGACAAGATCACTAGAAAAAAATTCACTGTTAAAAACTCATTCTCAAATTGCCTCAGACTGAGACTGGAGCTCAGACTCACTATATATAATAGGTTTGGTTGCTAGAGTAACTTGTTAACCATTATTCCATTACATAATGCTCTGATAGCTATTTACTAGGCTTACCTCCACTCAGTGCAGTAGCACTCATCTCAAGACTAGCACCTGGAAAGTGAACCTTCATTTTCCTACCTTTTTTTTTTTTCTTGTGTTTGTCAAATGATGATTTTATGTCACACTTATGTTCTTTTTTTCTTTTTCCTTTGTAAATTAAATATCTCAATATTGAGGGCTAGTCATAATATATTAGTTACTAAATATTGTGTATAAACAGGATTTTAGAGATGCTTAGGTGGGACATGGCAAAAAAAAAAAAAAAAAAAAAAAAAATGGGTGGGAACCACTGGTCTAAGCTTAGCAAATACAATGTGCATTAGAAATACCTCCTACATATAAATCACACAAAATGGTAAGACATTAGTGGTGTCTTCATCTAGCTAATGTCTTACCATTATGTGGGAGGCATTTCTGCCACACCCTGTAGCTATCAAGGCACTTTATGATGGAGTAATGCTTAACGAGTTAGTTTAGCAACCAATCTTATATGCTGAGTCTGAGCCCCAGTGAATGAATCTAAGCTATAGATAGCTATTAGGGAAGTTTATGATGGGGTGATGGTTAACAAGTCAGTCTTGCAGATTATTACTACTATATAGGGAGTCTGACCCCCAATATTACTACATAGAAAAGTGCCAAGAGGCCAAAAAGTATCATGCTGAGATATTAATTTACAAAGGAAAAAAAACACAATTATGACGTAAAATCAGCTTTTGACAAACACAAAAAAGGTAGGAAAATGAACAGACATTTTTTTTTTCTTTTTTAAATAAAACATTTCATATCATTTAATGAAAACTGAACTGTTGAGGGTTTCAGTAACTGCTTACAATTGTTTTGGAGAAATCATTTGGGAAAGTAGTTTTGTTTGTGACTCAACACAG